GGGTGTTGGGATTGTTTTGATTGTTCCGATGTCATGTCTTGAACGCCAGATTGGTTTCTGCCCGTGCAAGTATCGAAGCCCGCAGCCTCGGAGGCGCGCGCTGTCTTCGATTCGGCGTTGCCAGTTTTGTTTGGGAGATCGGCAGCGGGCTAGCCGCTTGCCGCGAGCGGTCGACGCGCGCCCGTGTCGGCGGGCATTCAGGCTGACGTTATTTGTCCGCTCAGTATTATTCCCCAATTGTTCTCGCAGCGTGGGCGGGAAATGAGCTGCGAGACCAGCGGCGTCGGTGCGAGTGCGCGCCGCGCGAGTGCGCGGCGAGGTGGGCTGGCCAGTCAGCGCGGCCCCTCGGCGGCGCAGCATGCGCGCGCCGAGCCGAGCACTGTGGGCAGCGTTCGTTCGAGAGGCGATTGACGCATCGCTCGTACACTTTGGCTTGGCCTTGACTGCGAAAGTCAAGCGTGGAGCGAGGGGGGCCAAGGAGGATGAGGACGATGATGATGATGATGAGGAGGGGGAGGAGGAGGAGGAGGAGGAGGAAGGAGGGCCGCGCAGGAGGGCAGAACAAACGAACGCGCGCGGTTTCTTGAACAGAAGAGGAGGAGGAGGAGGAGGAGGAGGAGGAGGAGGGAGGAGGAGGAGGAGGATGATATGTTTTGACATTCGCTTCGGGGTGAACTAAGTCAGGCGAGCTGAATCAGCCAGCAACCGACCTTCAGGCCATGCCCAAATCGTTGCCGATGCAAAAGCGGCTCCGCCGAACCCAACCCAGGAGGAGGAGAAAGGAGGAAGAAAGAGGAGGAAGGGAGGGAAGGAAGAGGAAGAGGCTACCCTGCTTCTCGGAGTTATCAGGGACTGACCAGTTCTTCGACTGGGCACTGTGGTATTCCCTTTTATTTTTGCAGATGAGTCCACAACAGCTGTTGAACCGCACGTGAAAAACGAGGATGCCGCCACAGTCGCCCGCCTCCTGCACCTGCCTGGCGCCAAGTACGCTGAGGGAGAAGGAATGAATGTTCGCTGAACGGGTTTTCCTCTGGTGCTCTCGTCGCATGTCAGACCGCCAGTGAAACCGACCCCTCTCAGTCGAAAAGGGTCGGTTTTCTAAGTGAGTAACAGGGCAAACAGAAGAGCACCACTGGAATTACCCAAATACAAAGCTATTGCATCAAACGGCGCCCGCTGCCCCGCGGACGGCCTCCGGTCGTCCGCGCCTCCAAAACCCTGGTGTTTTTATTGAATCCATTGGGGCGTTCTTGGTTGTTGGCCCAACCCCGCGGAGCGCAGAATCCATCGCCTGGGGCGTCCGAGGGAAACGGCCGCCCAAGGATGCTGCCCGAATCGCGTCGACGGGGCGGGCGCAAGTCACCCCCGTCAACCCTCGCCCCCCGCCGCCCCCGCCGCCCTGCCCGATCGCCCAGTGTGCTTTTCCCAGGGGGCTGCGATGGAGGGGGCGCCTCTTTTGCTTCTCTCGCCTCTCTTGCCCGCGCCGCCCCCCTGCCATGGTGAACTTCGAGGCCGCCGGCGCGCCCTCCGCCGCGCCGCTCTTTGCTTGCAGACCATCCGCTCGCCGCGTCGTCGGGCCGGGCGGCGGCGGGGCAGGGTGGGGGGAGGGCGCATGATAGCGAGGTGGGGCGGCTGCCAGTCAGGGTGGATGGGGGGCGGGCGAGCGGAGATGAGACAGCTGGCGCTGGCCCGATCGCCCGATGAGCAGCGCCGTCGGGCCCTGATGGCCGCGTCAGCTCCCGCGTCAAAATTAACAAAAATGACTACATATTTATCGAATCCTGCGTTCAAGGAAAATAAATTCGACAGTGGGATAACCAGATTTTATGAAAATAACACCAAATTTGTTAAATCTAAAACTACTGCAACTCCAGAATTAACAAATCTGCATACAGATTTGTTGAATCTAAAGTCATATGGGATCGCAGCTTTTGTCAAATATGTAGTCATCTTTTTAAATTTGACTTTGTTGCCAGAGCCCCCATATTGACGCTGGACAGGGCCTCGGGGCCGAGCCTCGGCCACGGCCGCCCGGCCTTGGGCCTCGCCCGCCCCCGCCCTCCCCCGCCCCAGGCCACGAACTTATCCCAGGTGGGGGCGATCCTGATAGGGGGGTCCGAGGTTGCGTGGGTCTTACGGGGGGGCGATGTCGCGGCTGTGGCAAGCTGGTGGCTGGCAGGGCGCTCGTGGAATCCCCCCGACGCCGCCGGGGACGCCGCCCCTCCAGAGCCCCCGCCCACCCCCCCGCGCTAAGCATCAACGAGCGATCGCCCCGCCCCCTTCTCCCCCTCCCACATGCATCTCAACGTCGCAACTCCCGATCCTTCCTCCCGCAACCGTTTTTTGGCTCTCCATGCCCATAGTTTTACACTACATGTGCACGTGGCCAATGGACCTCGGAGATTCAGAATGGGCAGATGCGATACTCTCGCACGCGAGGACGAGTGGTGGAGTTCGGCAGCGGGCCGCTGGCGCTAACGCTGCAACGCAGCCAATGCCAGACGACACAACATCAGATGCTGGTAGGCTCCTGCTCATCAATGCTCCGTTCGGGTTAGTCGCGCCGCCGTTTCTCCAGAAGATTGCTGCCGCGATATGCAGCGACATTCAGAGGGCGAGGGGCCGCAACATTCCAATGCTTGAGATGTTGGCTGGATTCGGAGCACGGGGGGGCACAGAGGGCACATCAGGAGAGACATGATGGCGCATATCGCGTCGCTGGTCACGGTTCCAGAGCCTGCGTCGAACAGGGTGCCGCTTCGGATAACGAAAGGCACTGGCGCTGGTAACCACATGATGGACCAATTTTACAATGTGCCACACTCGTGGTTTTCATATTGTGCACGCGTACTCTCCAAACGAATTCGTTGAACGCTTCGTTGACGCCCCAGGCAGCATTCTTAAGTTTTGGATGTCCGCTCGCCCAGATGACCCGCGCCGCGGGGGAGATATTTTCAGCAGAGCAGATTTGCATGATCGAGCAATGCCGATTGCGATGCGCGGTGACGGCGTTCCGTGCACGAAGAAAGGTTCACTTGAATGTATTGGTTGGGGGAGCAAGCTGTGCAATCTCACTGACTCGTTGCGTAAAATTCAGTTCGTGGCTGGGTATTTCAACAGCGCTAACGTGCAAGGGGGCCCTGTGTTGCCTGATTCAAAACGCGCGATATGGCCGCCAGCGATCAAGTCATTCATTGCACTTGAGGGTAGTAGATGGCCAGCTGTTCCAGAGGACAGCCCGCTGCCAGGTGGGTGCATCGACAGGTTGAATGCAGGGGTGGAGTTGGCGGATGGGTCTTATTGCGTACCATGGGTTGTCAAAGGGGATTACGATTGAAAAGTGAACCATCTGGATATACCTGGTCACTGGCCCAGCAATAATCCGCGCATGGACTGCAGGCATTTGAAGGGCGAGGGCACGCCCATGGCATTCACCAATGTTGCGCCCGACGCCCGGTGGAAGGGAATTTTGTTCACGGACCATGATGCGTGGAATCGATACTGGTGTGAAAAAGGGAAGGTTGTCAATCCGCTTTTCAAAAGTCGTTTTGATGGTGGCCTCGGGTTAAGCTTGTGCCATGTGTTCCATGATAGATTGCACTGTGCTGGTCTGGGCGTCAGCTTACACCTGGTCGGCAACGTCTTGTGGCATTTATGTTTCACGGACATGCTTCCTGGTGCGAATCCCGAGCAAAAGCTGAATCAGGTTTGGAGGGAGATCCACGAGGAGTATGACCGCCCACCAAAAACCGCTTGCAGGTTGGGTTCGTTACGCCTGCACAACATATGCGACCCCAAATCCCCTCCGGCTGCTTATCCAGTGTTATCGTCTGCCAAAGCAGCAGAGACGCGGCACCTGGTGCCAGTTATGCTCCGTGTCTGGGGAAAAACATGACAGGCCACATTTGGAATGTGAGTGTCACGTTCAAAGGTGTTTGGCGCATTTGACTGAGATGTACAAACAAGTTGTTTACAAGGATGGTGATGGTACTCACCCGCCAGTGCTTCCTGAACCAGTCGTAGATCAGTTGCAGTCGGGGACCGATGGGTTTTTGCAGCACTATATGTTCTTGCGAAGGCAGGCAATAGCTGTGGGCAGATACCTTTGGAACGTCGCGCCGAAATTCCATCGCTTGTTTCATTTGGGGCTGGAGTCTCGTTTTCAGAATCCGCACTTGGCATAGGACATATATCAATGAGGATTGGGTTGGGCACATGTCTGAAATTGGTGACGCCACCCAGCACGCGTTGATTCCAACGAAAAGGTCGAAGCCTTTGTCGAATTATCTGTCCGGGTCTTGTTTACAATTGCATTTCGCGAGCAGCTGAGGTCCCAACCTAGCAAGCTGTTCCCCTCTACCGTGCAGCGCGTGCGTGCGAGCCTCGTGCGGCTGCGTTCGTTTGGAACGATGCAAGCTACAGCCAACGACTCATCGACATCGCTCCCCCTCCCCTTCATCCGCCCATCATCTGTGGCGCCAATGCGTAGCCATCGGAATGCGTCGTCACATCCATCCTATCAATCCGCCACCGCCGTCGTCAGCACAGCCCCGAACTACCGCACTACCCCGTCGTCAGCACATCCTCACTACAGCCGCTTCCGTCGGCATCTCAGTGCATCAGCGCTACCATCCCATCAGTCGCCGTCACAGCCACGCAATCAGTCAGCCGCCACTGCCGCCGCCGCCGTCGTCGATGCCGCTGGCGCCGCGCCAGCCAAGGCAACGGGGCAAAAAACGCACGAGGAGCCGGCATTTCTCACAATTTTGCCTTTTCGATCCGAGATTTCACGGGGCCCCGAGAGAACCCCCCCCATTTGCCGCTCCAACCCCTGGGGCCATCATCTTGTCATTCAGATTTGCCCATTGTTTCTTCGGTAGCCGTTTTTGGCTCGAACTCCTGGGCTCCCGTTCGGGAGTTTGGCTACTGCGCGCCCGCGCACTGCGAGCTACTGCTAATCGGCGCTCTCTCGGTCCTTGCCGACGCCGCCGAAGGCGATGAAAGGGGTCAAGCAGGCCGTGCTCAAGCGGGCCAAGCCGAAGGCGAAGCCGACGAGGGGCGCTGCAATGGCAAGGCCTGCAGCAGCTGGTGTCGCCAGGAAGCCCGCGAAGCTGATCGGGGTCGACGACGGCGAGCCAGGGCCGACAGGAGCTGCCGGATGCCGTCGCGAGTCTCACTGACTACGACAAGCGCAAGTCCAAGACCGAGGGCATGAAGGACGCCCCCGGCACACTCAAGCAGGAGATGGAGGATCTCAAGCAGAAGGGGCACGGCCAGGACAAGACCAAGAAGATCAACTTGCGCATCGCTGCGTGGAAAGAGGGCGGATGGGATCATCCCTACTTCCAGGACGTGATCATGTGGCGCGAGTCGCGGACCAAGAAGAAGGCGGAGAAGGCCGTGCCCTGGCGCCGCATGACGACGAAGGTCGGCGGAGAGGAGAACGCCGAGAAGATGCGGACAGACGGAGAGATCCAGGCCGTCCCGAACCCAGACAACCCAGATGGCAGGCCTATCTTCAAGTTCGCCGAGTACGAGGTTTCTCGCGCGCAGACCTTGTCCCGCAGCAAGTGCATGACTTCGCAGAAGAACATCGGCATCGCCGATTGGGGCAAGGCTCGATCTGGCATTGATTCGCCCCCGTCCCCATCCCCCCGATCGTTCCCCAGCGGCCCTCGCCTCCACTGCGGGGCGGGGCGGGAGCGGCGCGGGCAAGGGGGGGGTGAGGAGGTGATGGGGCGTGGGAGGACGCGGGCAGAGCGTAGGTCAGGACCAGGGGAGGGGGGGGGGGGGGGCGGGGGAGAGGGGGCGGCGAGGGAGGGCGGCGGCGGTGGATGAGCCGTCGCTGGGAAATGTGCGGGGGGCGGGGGACAGGGGGGCATCAATTCCAGATCTACCCAGAGGCAGTCGGCTTTGCGAGCGGCATCGAGGACATGCAAGCCGAGTTCGACCCCGGGAGCAGCATGGACCTTGAGCAGCTGCCGGGCTACCTCCAGGACGGCCAGCGACCAGCTCTTCATCCTACCAGTGCTCCCGCGCCGACTGCAGACGAGATGGGCACCGCGATGACGCGCGTGAGTCAGGCCCTGACGAACCTCATCAAGATGAGGCTCGCGGTTGCGCAGGTCTGCTCGGCCCGCGCCGCGAACGCCGACCACAAGAAGTTTTTGGAGCAGAAGGTCGTGCCGAAGGGGGCTGTCGTTGAGGGGCTCATCAAGGAGTACGAGCTCTCGGTCAAGAACAAAGTCATCGAAGACCACCCAGGCCCGACGACCCCCGCCGACATCACGGAGAAGTTGGCCGAGGACTCCAAGACGTGCGCGGCCATCGGGGCCTTGCTCAACGTGGCGGGCAGCTACGGGTGAGGCCAGCTACGCGACTGAGGCCAGATGCGCGACAAGGGCCAGCTACGCTTTTGAGCGGGCAGCTACGCCTTTGGGTGGCCAGCTACGCGACTGAGAGGCCAGCTACGCGAGTGAGAGGCCAGCGAGTGTCGCCACTGAGGCCAGCTACGCGAGTGAGAGGCCAGCTGCGCGTTTGGGGCCAGCTACACTCTTGAGGCAAACTGCGCGAGTGACAGGCCAGCGACGAGACTGACAGGCCAGCTACGCCACTCAGAGGCCAGCTACGCGAGTGAGAGGCCATGGCACCATGCCATCGCCATCCCATCGCTACCATTGCACTGTTTGCATCATCGTGCCATCGCCATCCCATCGTCAACACACCCTATCGCATTCCCCCGCCCTTTGGATATTCCTGGGGCCTGTCTGTGCGGATAGATGGCGGGTTCAACTTCCATTGAGATTTCGACCCTGCCATCTTTTTGGCCTTGTTGGCATCGGCCCTCAAAGCGGCCCAGCGGGCATCCCAAGGGGGCCTCGAACGCATATCCAGACATGTGTTTTTGTCAACCCTCAACCCCGCCCCCCGCCGCGAGCCGATCCACAATTGCGACGGCGACCCAAAGAGGGCCCTGGACGGCCCAAGAGGGCCCCAAGACGGCCCCAAGAGGCCCCAAAGACGGCACAGGAGGCCTTTTAAGGCACCCAAGATAGCCTCCAAGACGGCCCTGGGGCATTCCAAAAGGGCCCCAAGACGGCCCATAGAGGCCCCCCAAACGGCTTCTGACGGCGTCAGACGGACCAGGAGCCCACCAAGACGGCCGAACATGGCCCTAAGATGGCCCAAGACGGCCCAAGAGGCCTCCAAGAGGGCCTCCAGGAAGGCCCGAAAAGGCCAACATCATTGATGTTCCGTTGGCTTTTGAAGGATTGTGGCATTTGCTTTTTGCTCGGTCTTCCGACGGCCCGAGACGGCCCAAGTGCCCCCAACGTCTCAGGGAGCTAGCGCGTCCTCCTCCTCCCCCTCGTCCTCCCCCCCTTTCCCCCTCCCGTCCTCCTCCTCCTCAGCCTCCTCCCCCTCCTCCTCCTCGTTCTTTTTGTCCTCCTCCACCTCCCCCTCCTCCTCCTCCTCCTCCCTCCTCCTCCTCCTCCTCCTCCTCCTCCTCCTCCTCCTCCTCCTCCTCCTCCTCTCCTCCTCCTCTTCCTCCTCCTCATCTTCCTCCTCCTCCTCCCCTCCTGCCCCCCCCCCCCATCCTCCTCATCCTTTTCCTCTTCCGCCAGCGCGGACCAAAGACTACGACGACGACGATCGCGCCGACGACGGCCGACGGCCGACGGCAGCGAACCACGACGACGGCCACGGGGCGGCCTCGGGGCGGTCGGGACGCGCCGAATCTTCAAGTACATTCCAGTGGGTGCAATATCATTTCTAAATCTGTATTACTAGAAAATAGGTTCCTTAATTTTGCTGAAATGATTTAAGGAATCTTAATAATTTGGCACTGAGGCGCTCCAGGTAGGTTGTGGCCGTTCGCCCCCCAGCGCCGAGCCGCCCCCCTTGCCCCGCGCCCAGCGCGGGCTGCTCGGGGCCCCCCATCGACGCTCTGCCCCCTCCACCGGCTGCGGGATCCTAGACGCGTCGGAGGCGTTTCACTGTCGTGGCCTGCTTCCCCACGGCGCCCCCGCCCAGCGGCCGATGCTCCGCACAAAGGCGCCGCTTGGGTTCGGCTCCACCTTCTGCTGCACGGCCGGCGCGGGCCGTCACTTTCGGTCGTCCGCCCGCCCTCTGCTGCCCCCTCCGCTTCGGCCTCTCCGCCCCCTGCGGCTCCGGACCTGCTGCAATCCCTCACCGGCCCGGGCCGCTGACCTCCCGGACGCCCCCCACCGCGCGGGTTGTCTTGCCGACGGCGCCCGCCGTCACCCCCCGTGTCGCGGCACGCTGACTCAACATCAGTTCTCGACGGTGTCTGGCGATCTGGACGCTGGTCTGTTGAGCGCCTGCACGTGAGTTGGTCGACGTTTGGCGGTTCGTGTGATACGCCCGCGAACCGTGTGACGAAGCGACCGTTGGTCCTAGCGCCTGCTCCTCGTGGTGCGTGTACGAGCCCGTGGTCACTGACTTCCAGCACGCTCGCGGTGTCGCCCAACCAGAATTCCCCGCCATTTGGCGTTGCACTCCGCCTGGCGGCTTCCCCCCCAGTCGACGGCTTTCTCTTCAGAGCGGCAGCGAGGCTCGTCTCCTGTTTGTTCCTCCCTCTGCTGTCCTCTCGTTTCCTCCCCTTCCCCTCTCCTGTTGCGCAATTCGTGCGTAGCCCGCTCGCTACGACTCTTGGACGGCGTCCGGCGTCTCCCGGTGCGCGCGCGATCCAAAAAAGTACCCCCACCTGCCCAGCCAGAGACGATGCCCATGAGGGGGGAGAGAGGAAGAGACACGCATAGTGAAACAGCGAGGGGCGCTTGGGAGGCTCCGTGGCCATTTCGAGCCGTCTTGGAGTGGTCTTGACGCCGCTTGGAGCACCTTGTGAGCCATCTTGAGCCAGCTTGGTAAGACAGTTTGGAGGTCATCTTGGGTTTTCTGAAGCCGTTCGGGGGCCTCGTGGGTGCCTCTCGGAGGCATCTTGGGGGCTTATTGGGGCGTTCTTGGGGCGCTCTTGGAGCCCTCCTGGGGGCCTTCTGGGTGCCCTGGAACGCCTCTTCGGGCCCTTGATGGAGGCGGTCGGTCAAAAGAGTGGGGGTACTAGATTTGCGTCCCCCCCTCGGGGGCCACGATCCTGTTGAGGGGTGGCAAACCTTCCCAATGGCAGAAAAAGGAGCCTCCGACACATCGCGACCCTTTTCCCAAAAAGCCTCAGCGAGGGGAGGGGGGGGGGGCATTTTTGTCGCTAAGCGGCAGGAAGCCAGGACCGGCTTTGAGGATCGCAGGTGCAACCTCCCGGGCGGATGTGATTGGCGCAGGCCGCCGCGGAGAATTGCCACATTTTGGTGTCTTGAGTTCGCGCTGCGTTGGGAAAGTGCGCGTTTTTGAATTCAGCTTGACAGTTGTTGCACGAGCCGGAAGAGGATCTGAGCGTTCATGATGCTATCAATATGTTCGAGCATTCGCCCCTGTGCTGCACAGTCAGGCTGCCACCGCGAGGGACGATGCACGAGGCACGAGACAGATTTTGGGAGCCTCCCCCCCCCGAAAAAACAGCGCCTGACTGCACCAAGACTGCCAGGGGGACAACCATTGAATGACCTGAACAGCGAGCCCTTTGGATTCTGATGTTCCAACCTACTTTAGCCTTGGTCACCAGAAAGAATTTCAAGCAACAAGAGAGGACCGAAGTTGGAAGGTTTTCACGTGTCGGGCCCTGGGAGGCGATACTCGTTCGACATTGTTTCGATACTTTTCTGGGTGCTCGAGTCTCGGCTGTGGCGTTCCCTCTCCGCCTTGCGTGTCTTCCCCATGCACCGCGGCTCCCCCTGGCAGGCGCCGCCGTGGGCGCAGCCAGAGGCCTTGAGGCCTCCGCCCAAGGAGTGGACGGGGAGGGAGGGGAGGGGAGGGAATAGGGGAACGAACAATGACATAAACATAAAATCTCCGAGGTTCGCGCGGATTTCTCGGATCGGCGCTGGGACCCGCTTGACGGCGCCTCTGGCGCCACCCTTGGCGCGCTCCGCGCGCCAGGGAGGAGGGTCCAGCGCGGATCCGAGAAATCCGCGCGGACCTCCGAGCTTTGGTGCTGATGTCATTTTTCGCTCCCCTAGGGGAGGCCAAGTGGGCCCCAGAAACAACAGGGTCGTCTTTTCGTCGTTTCCGAAGCAGTGCCTTTCGGAAACGGATGCGGTAAAAACGGGCAACCCGAAACGGCGGAAAAACGGTTCTGGAATTGGAGCCAGGACTGGAACAGGTAACAAAAACGGCGACGAAACCGGACACCATGGCGCCAGAACCCGCAACATACACAGCAACACGTAAGCGGTAAAAAAAGGGCCTTGGCGTTTCCAGGACTCCCGCTAAGAGGGAAGGAGCGACATGGAGATACCCCTATTATCTAGTATTTCGAATAGTTGGTTATGTGGGGCAGTTCTTTACGCCGACGCCGCCGCCAGATCAGATAGTGCGAGAAGTAGGGATTCGCTGGCCAGCGGATCTGATTCACGCCCCTTGCCACATCTCGATTGCGCATCGAGGGCACGTAGTGGTTAACCACAGGCGCCGGCCGTCGCCAAAATGAAGATTACCAATTTCAGTATTTCGCATCCAGGGCATTTTGTGACGGCACCGTCGCCAAATAGTAGTCTGCGGCAACAAGCAACTTGACAGTAGAGGGAGGGATACACAGAGAGAGGGAAACAGCGACAGCGAACTATCTATATGAAAAATATGCATGCACATATAGAGAGAGTGAGAGAGAGGTAAAGGTAAAGAGAGAGAGAGAGAGAGCAAGAGAGAGATAGAGAGACACAACAACACGAGAGAGAGAGGGAGATAACAACAAAGCAAGAGTGTGAGAGAGGGGGATGTAGAGAGAGGGGGATACATACATACATACACACATACATACATACATACGTGCGTGCGTGCGTGCGTGCGTACGTACGTACATACATACATGCATACATGTATATACATACATGTATACATGTATACATACATACACGCATGCACACATACACATATACATACATACATACATACATACATACATGCATGCATGCATGCATACATACATACATACATACATACATACATACATACATACATACATCCATGCATGCATGCATGCATGCGTGCATACATACATACATACATGCATGCATACATACATACATACATACATACCTACATACCTACATACATGCATGTGTGCATGCATACATACATACATACATACATACATACATACATACATACATACATACATACATACATACATACATACACACATACATACATGCATTCATACATACATACACGCATACATACACACATCTACGTATACCTATACATATACACATACCTATACATATACACATACACATGAATGTACATATACATTTTCATGTACGACCACCCTTCGGGTGATAAGGAGGTTGTGTGGGGGGGAAGAGGGGGGGAACCAACATCTGACTCAAGCGATTTCACTATCGATCTCACTCAACGGGACACCATAAGACACCACGGGACACCGCGGGACACCTGTCGATCTCACTATCGATTTCACTTTTTGGGACACCTCGGGGCACCACATCGATTTCAGTATCGATCTCACTATCGATCTCACTCAACGGGACACCACGGGACACCTGTCGATCTCACTGTCGATCTCATTATCGATTACACTTTTTAGGACACCACGGGACACCTTGGGGCACCACATCGATCTCATTATCGATCTCACTATCGATCTCACTCAACGGGACACCACGGGACACTTGTCGATCTCATTATCGATCTCACTATCGATCTCATTCAAGGGGATACCACGGGCCACCACGGGACACCGCGGGACACTTTGGGGCATCGTTCTCACTATCGGTCTCATTATCGATCTCACTATCGATCTCATTCAACGGGACACCACGGGACACCACGGGCCACCACGGGACACAGCGGGACATTTCTCGATCCCATTATCGGTCTCATTATCGATCTCACTATCGATCTCACTCAACGGGACACCACGGAGCACCACGGGACACCTCGGGACACCACATCGATCTCAGTGTCGATTTCATTATCGATCTCACTCAACGGGACACCATAGGACACCGCGGGACACCTGTCGATCTCACGATCGATCTCACTTTTTGGGACACCTCGGGACACCACATCGATTGCAGTATCGATCTCACTATCGATCTCACTCCACGGGACGCCACGGGACACTTGTCGATCTCATTATCGATCTCATTATCGATTACACTTTTTGGGACACCACGGGACACCTTGGGGCACCACATCGATCTCACTATCGATCTCACTCAACGGGACACTACGGGACACTTGTCGATCTCACTATCGATCTCACTATCGATCTCAGTCAACGGGACACCACTGGACACCACGGGCCACCACGGGACACCGCAGGACACCGCGGGACACCTCTCGATCTCACTATCGGTCTCATCATCGATCTCACTATCGATCTCACTCAGCGGGACACCACGGGACACCTCGGGACACCACATCGATCTCAGTATCGATTTCACTATCGATCTCACTCAACGGGACACCATAGGACACCACGGGACACCGCGGGACACCTGTCGATCTCACTATCGATCTCACTTTTTGGGACACCTCGGGGCACCACATCGATTTCAGTATCGATCTCACTATCGATCTCACTCAACGGGACACCACGGGACACCACGGGACACCTGTCGATCTCACTATCGATCTCATTATCGATCACACTTTTTGACACACCACGGGACACCTTGGGGCACCACATCGTTCTCACTATCGGTCTCATTATCGATCTCACCACGGGACACCACGGGACACCACGGGACACCGCGGGACACCGCGAGCCACCGCCGGACGGGCTGGCGGGGGAGAATCATTTGTCTTGACTTCGCCCTAGCAAAGGCGGACACCACGGGACACCGCGGGACACCATGAGCCACCGCCAGACGGGCGGGCGGGAGGGGGAGAGTCATTTGTCTCGACTTCGCCCTAGCAACGGCGGGTTCGCTCCTCTCGCGCGCCCACGCAGCTTCGCCTCGCCCGCACGCACGACAAGAACGAAACGACATTATTTCCCAGTTGGGGGTCTCCGTTCCACTGCGATCTCACCCCCCAACCTCAAGATGTAAGAGAGATAGAGAGCGAGAAAGAGAGAGGGAGAGAGGAGAAGAGAGCGAGAGAGAGAGAGAATAACAACAAACGAGCAGAGTCAGGTGAGAGAATTAGAGAGAGAGAGTCAGATAAAAAGGGGGGGCAGGAAGGGAGGGAGTTAGATTGGCAAAACGGGGATGAGAGGGCGGTAGAGAGGGAGAGAGAGAGAGAGAGATGAAAACGGAGGGAGGGAGGGAGGGAGGGAGGGAGAGAGAGAGAGAGAAACAACAACAAAAAGAAAAGAAGGAGAGGGTGGAAGGAAGGGTGGTCATGGGCGGGAGGGAGGGTGTGGAGACGGAGTGCATCAGAAGAGGGGTGGAACGCGAGGAGACATGGAGAAGAGAGCGCGAGGAGGGGTCGCAGAGGGAGGTCGTGGGAGGAAGCGCCCGAGGAGGAGGAGAAGGAGCAGGACGACGTCCACAGATCCTGGGAGGCCTCCAGTGTCCGGGGAGGCTTCCGGATGTCAACAACCGTCAAAATAGCTTCGATCCTCCTCAGGAGAAATATGAGGAGGAGGAGGAGGAGGAGGAGAAGTTGGAGGAGGAGGAGGAGGAGGTGGTCGGAGGGACCAACCATACACCTACACAGGTCCTGGACCCAGGATCGGTGCATCTGCCACCCTGCCCGAGAGGAGGGCGTATGCACCGATCCTGGAAAAAGGGTGAGCCTGGCCAGGATCGGGGTGTATAACTTGGCATCCCCCAGGGTGATTTGAGCCCCCGCCGGCCCCAGCTGCGCTGCCACCAGCCCCGAGTCCTGCCTGTTTGCGGGTGCTGTCTCGATTTTTCCTTCGCTCGCCCACGCTTTGGGGAGTGATGCTTTTGGGCCGCATTTGGCTTGGGGTCAGGATGTATCAGTCGTGGGACTTGTTTGAACAGGATGCGCTTGAAGAGGCAGGAGCAGGAGGAGGAGAGAGGATGTGGAGGAGGAGGAGGAGGAGGAGGAGGAGGAGGAGGAGGAGGAGGAGGAGGAGGAGGGGGGGGCAGCGGACGAACAAGGGAGTCGGAGAGAGGGAGATGGCCGGAGGGCAGATGTTTGCAGCGTCTTGAGGCCGTGCACGCACGTGCCCCAGTCACCGCGCCCGCCTCCCCCCCCCCTTGGCGCAGGAGGGGCAGGAGCCCAGCCCCATGGAGCCCGAGATGGCCACGCCATCGCCGCATTTGCCAGAGCCCCAGGCGAAGGCGGAGCAGGAGAGTTGGGCGTCGCGTATCGTTTGCTGCTTTATTCATTGTTTTGCCGATCGGCGCGGGCCTTCGCACTCCTCCACTGCCCCCCCCCCCCCATGGAGGAGATCTTGGTTGTTTTTGGCGCCTGTTTCGAGCAGGTGCAGTCTCCCCCATGGTGGACGCACTGTTGCAAAAGGGCGCACTAAGCAGAGGTCCGGAGCCAGACCCCCCCCCCCTCCCTCCCTCTTCCGCCCAAAGTCGAAACGCCGAATAAGAGAACGTTTACAATGGGGTGGCGATACATGGGGGGCAGCGAGGGCTGCCCAAGAGTGGCCCTTTAGGGCCCCTGATGGGCCCTCTAGGGCCCACGAGGAGCCTTGAGGGCCCGAAAAGTGCACCTTTCTTCCCGCCCCGTGCGTCGCCCTCCCATCACTCCACTCCCGAGAGAGCCAGCGCCCGTGCGTACGCGCGTGGGTGAACGTCCGTCTCTCAGAGGAGGGCGAGCTGAGACCACGGCAGTTGGCCTTCGGGGGAGGGGGGGGGGCGGCGGATCTCGCCGCCCCGCCTGGACGCAGCTCGGAAAGCCGTTGCGCAGCGTGTGTCTGGACACCAGGAGGGCTCCGGGGACCGATTTGGGGCTGCCGTTGTTTCCAGGGGGCCCCCGAATGGTGCGGTGACCACACCGAGCGGTGAGTCGGTGGGGATTCCGGGTCACCGCACGGTTTTGGGATTCGAGTCCCTCTCCGAGGATGTCTCGGGCGACAGGGGCATCCGAGATCCCAAAACCGTGCGTTGACGAACCGTGCGGTGAGGTCTTGGGGGATTTCGAGGTCACCGCACTCGTCTCCCCCTGCTCCGAGTCTCGTGCCTAGCCGGTCTCCACGCCTGGGGTGACTCGCGACAGCGACAGCAGGGCCAGGCAGGCGGTAAGCGCAAGTGGTCGAGGACAGCGTCCGCCATGCTCTAGATCTCAGGGAAGATTTTCTCTTGACGCCAGCCCAGGGGCCAACGCTGGCTTGCAGCTGGTCACTCGTTGATGAGGGCGAGGCGGCGTGGACTTGCGCCACAGCAAACACCGTACACACACACACACACACACCTGGGCCGGCACGGAAACGGAAAGAGCGCCTCAGGAATTTGCCCGAGAGGGCTCATGGCACCCTTCGCTTTTGGGAGCCTTGGTGTGAAGAGCTTGTTACGTCGCCACTCTCCGTTGGGAGCCCTGGTGTTCAGAGACTGTTACGTTGCCGCTTGCTCTTGGGAGCCTTGGTGTGACGAGCTTTGTACGTCACCGCGCTCTGGGGAGCCTTGTTGTCAAGAGCTTGTTGCGTCACCGCCCGCTCCTGGGAGCCATGCAGCCATGCTGCTCCTTGGCGTCTCTGGAGCTTCTTGGTAGTCTTTTGGGGGCCCCTTGGGACCGTTTTGGAACTCTTGGGCCGTCTTGGGGCCAGCCCTGTCCCCACACCCAAGCAGCCCAGTCCCCACACCGCCTCTTCGGGCCCCCTTGGGAGCCTCTTGCGAGCCTCTTGCGGCCCTCTTGGAGCTCTCTTGGGGCCGTCTTGGGGCCATCTGGGACTGTTTTGGGGCCCTCTTGGGCCGGCTGGGGGCCCTCTTGGACCGTTTTCCGTCTTTTTGGGCGGCCTCTGGGGCCGTCTTGGGACGAGCTTTGGGACCCCATGGGCCGTGTTGGGCCCGTCTGGGCCCGAAAGGGCGAGAATCAGAAAAACCTTCAAAACCATTATGGGAATCAGTGTTTTTGGGCTCCTCAGGCCCTCTGGAGGGTCCCTGGAGCCGTCTCGAGGCTCTCTTGGACCGTCTGGAGGCCATCCAGAGCTCCCTTGGGGCCGTCTTTGGGTCGTTTGGGGGCCCTTTTGGGCCGTCTTGTGGCCCTGGAGCCGCTTCCCTCGAGCAAATATGAGGAAACGGGCCGTGGAAGGCGCACAACGAAACTCGTGCAGATGCCGAACTAGAACCTCAGCGCGCGCGAAGCGCGTGCGTCGAAGCGCGCGCGTGGTTCTAGTGTATTTATGTATATATACATACCAATAAATACATGTGTGTATACACACCTGTATATACATTGAACATTTTTGAATGAAATGGCAGATCGATTCAGCAGCCCCACCCCCGCCCACTTCCAAAGTCGTCCCTCGGAGGGGGCGGTCGGCGCAACATTGGACGCGGGAGGGGGTCCCGCCGTTGCGAGGAGACCCCATGACCACGCAGTCCCATGAAGTCTTCGCAGCGTTCCCTGAAACCATGGCCACCCGTCCAACACTGCGTCTGGGGCGGTCTGGCGCCCCCCGAGACGCCACCAGATGGTCTGAAGACGCGCCAAGGGGCTTCTAAAGAACCTCCGCAGGGCCACAGGAGGCAAAACACACCCCATTCCCTGCGGAAGACACATCTTCCCTTTGCCACCCTTGACAGCTTCAAAGACGGTCCAAGGAGGCTGCAATACTGCATGCGTGGCCCTAAGCACGGCCCAAGAGGGCCCCAAGACGGTCCAAGGGAATCCCAAGAGGGCCTCAAGATGGTGCCAAAACGGGTCGTGGGGCATGGTTTTGGGGGGTGCTTTCCCAACATACCCCTAACACTTTCCGGGAAGCCTCCAGGACGCTCGCAGAAGCCCCCAGAAGCCCTCAAGAGACGCCGAAAACAACCCCCGGATTCCCCAAGAGGAGGAGGAGGATGAGGAGGAGGAGGAGGAGGAGGAGGAGGAGGAGGAGGACTGGGAGGAGGAGGCGCAGGAGGAGGAGGAGGAGGAGGGGGACCACCGGTACCAGGAGGAAGGCTGAACTATGCGAGGGGGCGCGTGGGTTTCGGGTGGCCAGCCCAGTGGATTCCATGCTTGCCAGCTTGGGCCCCGAATTTGGGTCTTTGCGCGCTCGACTTGTTGTTTGTGCGGTGCCCGCGCAGTCCGGCAATTGGACTCTCGGGGCAGTTTTGGAGCGGTCGTTGGGCGGTCTTGGCTAGTATTTCGGCCGCCCTGGGGCCCGCTTGGGTCATTTCGGGGCCATGTTGAGCTGAATTCGCTTGGCAACTAATTGTAATTTGGCATCGCCCTCGGTTTGAGGGGGTGGTTGTCGAGATCGGCCCTTGGTCTAGGGAGGGCTCGGATAACTCGCAAGTTCACACGCCGACAGGCCAATTTTTCGTGTTATGTTTGACCATCGGAGGGAGAGCGGGAAGTTTCAGATTGAAGGAAGAGCCTCCGATGCAACCTCAATTGTTCAACTCTGGGAGGTGGCGGCTAAGAATGGAAAACTTGGCCCCCGATCCTCTCAGGGCTTCGTACAATGTTGGCGACGAACCATGGTCTGATCACATGTGAGATCGTCTCTGCATGCGCGGCTTCGCCTACGATGTTTTGGCGATTTCGTGGGCCGTGTTCGTTCCGATTTCGTTTTGCGAGAAAGGCGGATTGAAGACAAAACGAGGGAAAACGAAAACAAAACGAAAACGAAAAACACCGTTTAGATTCAGCCCTGCTCTCTTCTCATGCTGCGCGTGGTTTGGCAACTGCCGCAGGCAGTATCGCGCAAGGACCTCAGTGACAGGTGGACCGCCCGCGCAGGCTCGGGACCTCTCGAGTCTAGCTTTAAGTCGTGCCTGTCCCTCTACAGGAGGAATACTCCAAAATAGTTTAAAAAATAGTCGGGGGACGATTTTCCAACTATGTTTGGCCATTTTGGGGGATGTTGTGGGCATGTTTAATTTGTCGTCCAGAATCCCCCTGTAGGGGGACAGGCCCGACCTAAGTCTAGCTTGTGGCGAGGAAGCCTCGAAACAGTCAGCGCCTCTTTCCCTCGGCATTGTGGATGCTGGTTCCACCAACGCATCTCCTTGAATCTGCTGGGGGCCTGGCCCCCTTTCTCCTTGCAGCGCTGGATGAGCCATATGCTCGGGTCTGCCATTTCGCCCCCACTATGCTGTTCTGCTCTGCCCTCAGTTCCTGGTGGTGCGGTGCTGGTCCCTTGGCCGCCACTGCCGTATTTTGTGCGCCGAGCTGCTCCTCGCGCTTGTGCAGCTTCTCGTGCTGCATTCGCCTTGGTGTTTGCAGCCTGGTGGTGTGGTTCCAGCCCCAGGCCGCCGCTGCCCTTGTCCTTACAGTGCAGCGTTCATTATTTCGGGGTTTGGCGTTTTTCGCTAGCCTCCATGGTGGTTCAAGAGGTGGATGCCTCCTGATGGCAAGACGCACCAAGGGCCCGTCGGGAGTGACAATGCGAGAGAGCAACCGTCATGACTCCCCTTAGGCGGTGGGCCGACTTTGAAATGTTGAGAAGTTCCTTGAAGGGTTCCGAGAGCGCGGAGCTGGGTTCGGGCATTGTGGAGTATGCCGGAGGCCATCACGCATCATATTGTCTTATTTTGTGTCAGCTTGAAGGCCATCTTGGCGCATCGGGAACCATCTGGGGGCCATCTTGCACCCAAATTAGCTGCCTGACACGGCGGGGCTCTTCATAGGGCCACCGTCACACCACCTCCGCCCAGAAGGCAGGTGGAATTTCTGCCAGGCATTCTTAGGGTGCATCTTGGGGCTTCTTTGCACTTTCCGGGTTTGGGGGCCTCGTGGTGGTTTCTTCGGCTCTCTTGGTCCGTTTTTGCGTGTATTGGTGTCCTTTAGGGCTCCATGGGCCGCCTTAGCGTTCATTTGGGCCGCCTTGGGGCTCACTTGGGCCGTCTGGGGTCGTGTGCCTCTCTGCGTGGTCTTTTGAATTTTGACGTGTGTGGGCCCTCCTAGGGACTCCGGGCCCAGCTTTGGAACGTTTTGCGGGCGTTCTTGCCAGTTTGCGCTCCCCAGGATTGTCGCATGCAGAGAACACGGGGAGCCAACAACGCACGTACAAACCTAATGAGTCGGTAAATGGTGGCCGCTAGGGTAAAATATTTGAGACCCCCAGCCATTTCGTGCCATTTTGGGGCGTCTTGGGCTCACGCGCCGATGCACCCCGAGGCGTCGGCGAATTGTTTACCACCACAAGAGGCATATGTACACACTTGCATACACCATCGGGCTCTACTAAGATGTTGTTGCGGCTTCGCTTGGAGAATCTGTCATCCGATGCCGCTCCTTCCCCATTCCGTATCATCCTTATCATTTGTTTCCCTTTGATGCTGCATATTCCCATACCCCTCCCTCATCATCGTCACCCTCGTTCTCATCCCGCTCCTCCTCTTAGTCTTCACTTCATCCTGTTATTCCTCACCCTCCTCGTCGCAAGTCTTCATTTTCCTCTTCGCATCATCGTCTTCTCCATCTCATCGCCGTAAGTCATCCCCCTCCTACTCCTCATGCTGTTCCTCCGATGCATCCAGGAACCATCCCCACAGACCCTGGAGCAGGTTCAGCAGCGTCTGCAGCAGCTGCAGCAGCAGCAGATGGAGAAGTACGTGCGGCCCTTAAGCCGGCAGAGTCGCAGAAGACGAGCAGATCTCCCGCCAGTGCGGTCGCCGGCGCGAGGGTTGGGCCTCGCGTAGTGGATGGGCGAGAAATGGTGGGCAGCGAGGGCTGCAGAAAAGGAGCCCTTGAGGGCCCCATAGACCAGAAGGGGGCCTTCATGGTCCGAAATGGGCCGCGTGCCAGGGAGGGAGGTCCAGCGCAGATCCAAGAAATCCGCGCGGAGCACAAAGAGTTTGTGTTTATGCCGTTGTTTCTTGTTCTTCTTCTTATTTTTATCATTATTATTACCATTATTAGTATTACTATTATTATTTACATTATTATTAGTGTTCTTCTTATTCTTCTTATTATTATTATTATTACTATTATTATTAGTATGATTGTTGTTGTTGTTGTTGTTGTTGTTGTTGTTGTTGTTGTTGTTGTTGTTGTTGTTGTTATTAGTATTATTCTTATTATTATTTTCTCCATCCGGCCAGTGCCGCCGATCCGGGGGCGCTCCCGATGCGATCTGGTTGGTGGAAGGGGAGGTGGAGGAGTAGGTGGAGAATGAGGCGGAGGGAGGTGGAGGGAGGGATTGCCTCACGATGGCCCAAAACGGCCTAAGCAGCCCCCAAGAGGCTTTCACGACGGCCCAAGAGGGCGTCCGGGGTGGCACTCTGCTGTGTTTCCCACGACCCGACCCCCCCCCTCCAGGAAACGGAGCACAGCGCGTCTCCCCCTCCACACCCCCCTCCACCCCACCACCCCACCCCCCTACCCCGGCAGAGCCACCCTGGCACCCACCCCCCCAGCACAGCAGAAGCTCAGGTGAGGCTACATCTAAGGCTCTTTCAAACTCACACGCCAGATCGGCGGATTTTCTCCGCCGCCCATCCCGGTGAGGAAGAGCAGGGGGAGGACGGAGTCGGGGGCGGCCAAGAGGGGAGTGATGGCTAGGGGGGGTGGATATCATGGCGGGGGCCATGATGTTTCCTGAGATTGCATGGCGCCCCTTCTTATTTCATTACGTCCCGCGCCCCCCTTGGGCCGCGCACATGTCGCCGGGAGGAGGAGGAGGAGGAGGAGGCCATGATTTGCGGTCCCCCCTCTTGGACGCCCCCCTCTTGGCCGCTCTCGAGAGGAGGAGGTGGGACGGGGCGGGCGGTTCCCCCCCCCGCTTCGCTCCCCTCTCCTCCCCTGCCTCCGCTCCGCTCCCTCTCCTCAGAGGCGACGACAGGGGCGAATAGCCCAGGGGAGAGCAATACATGGATTCTGGTGTGCCGATGATCCATGTCTTCGAAAAGGCTCCCGGGCGAATACGTGTAATGCCCGCCCCTGGGCTATTCGCCCCTATCGTCGCCGCCGATCTCCGCTCCCTGCCACGCTGATGAAGAGAAGCTTGGCATCGCTCGGACGTGTGCACTTTTTCTCGGCGGGGGGCATCGAGGATCATCTTGGATCATCCTGCGACGAACATGCACATGCACGAAACCAAGCAGTGAACGAGGAGCGAACGTCCGAGCGATGGCGAGGAAGGGGGGAGAGACGGAGGAGGAGATGGGGAGGAAGGACAGGGGAGGCGGGGAGGCGACGGCCCTCCTCTTCTCAAATCATCATCAGCAGCATCAGCATCAACATCAGCATCAGCATCAGCAGCATCATCATAAACATCAGCATCATCAGCATCGTCAACATCATCATCACTATTAACATCGACATCATCATCACCATCACCACAGTCATCAGCATCAACATCAAAATCAACATCACCATCGGCATCATCATCCGATTATTTGTCTGCAGCATCATCATCTTCAACATCGTCATCGTCATCGTTATCATAATCATCATCGTAATCATCATTCGCATCATCGTCATCGTCATCGTAGCCATCATCGTAATTGTAATATATAGATGTGGTTTCTCCGATGTCCTGCGTAGCATATCGATGCTTGCGTCTATAGTTGCATGCATGACCCCATTGATAAAGATCGTGAAATAAACTCCACGGAGGATGCTTTTCATAATATCAATAACGAAATTTCCCTGAGCCGAGCGTTGTCCGTGATGATGAAAGAAGACACCCCTGCTCAAGACGAGAGATGGTCTCCAGATGGATCTGATGAAGACACTCGTATCCTGACGCCTCAGGCGGACAGGACGGAGGCCCAGACGAAGCATGAGGGGGGAGCCACAGGACGAACCCCTGCACCTCATTTCAAGAAACAAAGGAACGAGGACTACGAACTGAACGTCTCACCACTGAAAGAAGGTTTCTTCCGTACTGCCGCCACCTCAGGTGACTGGCAACCCTCGATTCCAGCTGTCGTTGAGGATGAAGAAATGGCTGGACAACCAGCTTCGTATACTCAGTTAATAACACCAGACGAAAAGGATGAGGAGCTCTTGGGCGTGCCTAGCCCTCCAGAAAATACGTTCGTTCGCCCCGGACCCAATGCTTCAAGTAGGGGGGGGGGCCCGAGGTACCAAGGTCAGGGGCGAGATCTACTTCAAGGAGCAACAGTACCATCTCCATGGCGGAGGCTTGTTGGAACCCTAACCCTAACTGCGCGCCTCAGGCGGAGAGCAGATGCCCAGGGAAAGCCAACAGGCCAGAAGGCGCATGTAGGAACCCGAGTGCAAGAGTTGTTCTGACGTATGCCATAAGTGTAACATACAGTGGTTGTGTACAGAGTGTTACCCAATGGACGAGCATAACTGCACGTATCCCCTCATACAATCTATTCAGGACCAGGCCAGGCTGGCGGGGGCTAGCACTCAGAGAGTGTTTCTGACCAGTGAAGCGCAGCTGGCCGAAACCCGAATGGACAGAGAGGAGCTAACTGAAACCATGGCTGAAGTTCGGAAAACATTCGAGGCGGAGCGGATCGCCCTAGCCACGGCTGCTAGAGAGCGAGAACAAGCGCTGATAGAACAATTGCACAATCAGACCGTGGCCGCCAAGCGGCAGGTGGATATGGAAGCTGAACATAAATACAGAGAATTATTGGTTTCTGAGAGACAGGCCGTCGTGATGGCAACCCATGAATCTATTGGCGCCAATGCGGTCGCCGCCGCTGTTGCGGTGGCCAGAGTAGAAGGATAACAAATCGCTACAGTTATGGCGGAACGAGAAAAGCAGAGCTTACAAGAAGAGCTTAAAGACGCCAGGCTGGAAGCAGTTAGCACCC